TAATTGCTTTATAACTTATCAGTGAATCTAAGTAGGAACTATTCTAAATTGAAATTGTTTTGATGAGCCTTTGCCTGATTGTTGAATTAGCCACAATGAAATGAGAAGGCTTCAGACTGTCGCATTTTAATAAGCCTTGCTTCACAAGACTGCTCTTGTATCAAGGTTTGACCTAAGATGACCATTCTTCTCAAATAAACCGAACTATAGATTTAACTACAATTAGGTTTTTTCGTGACCAAGAATGTTTACACTCAAAAAATGATATCTGGATAAATTGACCAGGTAAAATTTCTTGCCTATTTACTAATCCGTTTCATTTTCTGCTTCCTATAAATATGTTACTCATGGTTTTGATAAATTTTTTTATTAGAATGCTAAATTGTTTGGGTGTCCCACATTCGGTAAATAGCTAACACTCAAGATATCCTGGTTGGATTTGAACCTAAATTTAACTAGCTTATTTGAGCCGTCTTGGACCAAAGCAGTATGGATACATTTAATTTTTAGCATTCTTTGGATACCGCTGACTTTTTAAATATATTAAATCAAAATTAGTTATGTAGTTTATAGTTCTTTTATAGTTACTTTGTGCATATATTTATGCCAAACGACAAGCTTATAGAAAAAGAAGTGGGTATAGAAATTCTTGTAATTACACCAACTAGCGAATTCATTTATATCCCAATTATTAATGAAGAGACCCAGAGCCTTAAGTCTACGGATTAGAGAAAAAACGGAAAACCATCGAAGGTATAAAGACCAAGATGATGTGATCTTTAGTATGGTTGCGATCTGCTTTCTTGTATACTAGCTGTTTATACGAAGAGAAACTGGATTTCGATGAATCTCCTGAGATAACATTGTTGAGGAAACTTTCATTCCGTATGAAAATGCATAAAGAAGAGATTCGTAGGTCGATCTCATCAGAAGAAGACGGCTGAATTCCGTAACTTGACTTACATCTCATTATCTTAACCATACTTGCTTACGGACTTACGCAGTCTCAGTCAGGGCTTTCTTTTGGGTCATTAAGCCTTGATGAACAAAGCCTTTTGATCACCCTAATTTAGGATAGGTATTGCGTATAGATGTTAACTCACCCATACACACATACATACATACATACATATATATATATATACACTCAAGCAAAAGTAGCAGGACCAGTACGAAAGATTATTAGCCAAATCATTCAATATCCATCTAGATTTTTTTAAGTTTATTTTGCTTAATTGAGTCTCTATAAGAGTTAAGATAGAGCCGGATAGTCTTCTTGCCCTAGTGTTGACGTGAGACTTTCACAGGAATGAGTTCCAGCTCTGATAGTGTCCATCATATGATGGACAAAAGCTCAGCCCGTTTTTACCCGAAACAAGGGAGGAGGTCTCTTGGACTACATCAGCCTGAACGTCGTATCAAAGCCAAACGGTTGCACTACAACGGGATCCATCCGTCCTCTTCTGGTGAGATCGACCTACGAATCTCTTTTTCATGCATTTTCATACGAAATGAAAGTACCCCCAACGATATAGATTGTTTGACCTTTTCTTCGCTACTTGGTCATATTGACAGGACGACCTAGAGGAAAGCAACTTGTCCAAAATCCAATGTAGGCATGCAAATTTCCTGAGTCGGACCATGGACTTGGCACATCCCCAGAGGCTTCGCCAGCATCGCCAATGAGCCCTACCAGCCTTAGCACCGCACCACAATCCGTCAAGGAGAGAAGTCAATCCTTTGACCAATTATGTGCTAAACAGTCCGAATACTATGGACTCCGGACAAGGTGCAGTCCTCTAAGTCTTTCTGCCAATACGACCGAGTTGCGAAAGCAAGGTCGAACAACTTCTAAACAGAAAACAAGATGCGAAAAAAATGACAAAATGACTAGAAATGATGGCATGGGCTGAGTTTTCAAGTGAAGTGGTTGCCATTCCACTATGAATAAACCAAAGGCTCCAAATATAACAAAACAAAGCTGCATAAATTTCGGTGCAAGCCATTTGGAGAAAATATTGACAAAATACTTATGGACATACCTTCACTATCCATCGAATTGGTTGAGAGACGATCTGGTTCAATAATCGGTTTTGATATAACGGTTGTTGAGTTTCCAGTAGTCATACCACGATCGTATACTCGGCTCCGAATGCCAGAAGTTATCCAGCTAAAAGAATAAAAATTAAGTAAACAAGATAATTGGAGTAGTATAATAAGTTAAAGCATACATGAAATTAAGGCTGCCTGAAAATATTTGCGTAACGACACTACGTACTATTCACGAGCAGACCCATCGTAGTATTCGGAAATCCGTAATGCCGATAGATAGAGGGTATTATCATCTGTTTCATTCGAAGCCAGTCTCAAAAATACTTTTTGCTAGCCGTCGTTCGCAATGATCAGCTTACTGAAAGCTCTTAGGGAATCCACTTACGACGTATGAATGATTTCACACATTGTAAGAGATTACGAAAGCATGAATGATTGTCATTTAAGATCGTCTTGTTGGTGAAATGATTAGGAGTGTGCTGTCTAAAATAAAGGCTTCGCTATAGCATTGAACGCAATCTACGTTTGCCTTTTGACGTACTCCGAGAAAGCCTCAAATATCAGGCTTTTTACCACTAAAGTAGGATAAGAAAGCAATTATGTTTTATGCAAATGCTGACAGTTCATATATCTAACAAATATTATGCAATATGAGGAAGATAATTAAGTCATATATATGAATGTTTTACGATCTCGAGTTTCCCCCGCGAGCACAGAACAATTCGGAATACACAAAGAATTCTGCAGCACACGGTCCTACACTTTGTGGAAATTTTCCACTTCCTTAGTCAGCATAACTCTCACAACACTCACTAAAGAATCAGCCGTTCAATCGTTCTCCGAAATTATGGTTGCTTCTTTTATTTTGTTTCTTATGCGAGATTTCTCGGCTATGTTCCTCTGGTAAAAGTTAGCCTACCGACGCGGATCTCAGTATTCTTATTGTGGATCGTTAAAAATGGAATGATGATTGAATCGTAGCCGGTTTTCTATGCAAGTGACTGTGATGCTGCCTGAGTTGTGGTAATGCAAACAATGGCGCAAAAATGTCATGAAGACGTCATGCGGTCTTACTCGAGCATAACACCAACACCTCCTGCTCGGTTAGCCTGCATCGCTGTAGTCATCGCGCTCGTCTGACTATTGGGTATTGGAGGAAGAGCTCCTCCGTGGCCCGATGGCAAAAGACGCTGCCCCAAAAAGGCCGAACGGTGGCCGTGGTGCTGTGTATGGCCCGGTTTGAGCTGCGCCCTCATCTGTCCCGAGCGCATGCAGTCGGCTTGCAGTTGAATCTGCCGCCCCAGGGCGTGGTGCTGCTGGCCACGGGAACCAAGCCCCCGAGTCTTGTTGTGCTGGACATGCTGCATGAAGTGCGGGTGCTGCGGATGTTGGGCGTGGTGCCCCATCGAATTGTGCTGGTAGGTTGAGTAGACTGCGGAGCCGGGCTCCGGTTGGCCAGTGGCGCTATGCATCTGGTAGCCTGTGGGCAGATTCGCCCCGGCGCCCGGGTAGACCAGGCCGGGCTGCTTCAGGTAGCTCGCGTCGCGAGCGTCCAGCCGCCGGTCTGTCGGGTAGCCGAACCGCGCATCACCAGCCGCGCCCAGATCGCCACCAGCGCCACTTGGTGGCCAGCGCAGATCGTTTCGAGTGGGGCCGACGACGGAACGCTCCTTGGCTGGGTGAAGATCCTCACTCAGCTGTCGGTGCCGCAGGTAGAGGAGGAGGGCGACCGCGGCGACGAAGATGAGCACAAGGATGGCCGTCATCGGCACGATGACTGTGGGCTGCTGAAAGACGCTGATGGGTTGTGTGTGTTTGTTCTGAAAGATGCGTGTTTCCTCTAAAAAAAGATTGAACAGCGACAAGTGGGACAATGGGGAATAAAAGAAAGCTGAGGGCGAGAAAAATGTGAGTAGTCAAGGCCGCAATCAAACCTATGATCCCTGCAGGCGAGAATTATGAGGCAATATGAAAATGAAATGAATGCTGAGGCAAGCCAGTTAGTACCGTGTTGTCAGCGTTCATAATTTTTGTTTGTTAGTATGGAGCTGATGCCGACTCCATTCAATATATATGAAAGAGAAGACTAGATTTTTCGCCCGAAAGCCAGAGTAGTCTGTAGTTTCTATTTTGATTAGGTTTAATGTGTCTTCCTAGCGGGATCCATAGTTTTGCCGACTAAGCGGCAAAAGGCTACCCACTTGAAGTCGGCATATGACCGTAACTAACCGATTAACTTTAGACTTGAGCAGAGGCCAGATATAGAGTATATATACCACTCTTTGGGGATTTTCCGGTGAGTTTTCTTGACTCGTTAGCTTGAATTTGGTTGTGACGATGATACCTTGCTCTGATGATGTTAGTCATATGACGGAACAAAGCTTAGCACCTTTTCACAGGAATTAAAGGAGATTACCTCGGAAACAGCATCAGCCAATCGACAGCTGGTCAAGAGGAATCCGCCATCGCCTTCTGGTGGAACCGATCTTCGAATTTCTTCACCCAACACTTTCACTCGAAATGGAAATAAGCTCAATAATTATAAAACAAGAGATTCCTCGAAACTCAACTTTTCTTCGCACACAAATTTAGCCTATTTTGTGATTTTCAAGCATGATTTTCAAAGAAAGGAACGCCTTGCTAAACTTGCATCTTTAGAGGAGGATATGTATGCTCAATAGATACATTATTTACATATTTCTAGTATTAATCTAGTTGCTGCTATCGCAAATATGACTAGGGCAAGTATGTAGTATAGTTGAGCTGACTTACATTTCGTGTGTAGGTGTGTGGTGAGTAGATCGATAGGTCGGTCTTACCCGAGGGCAATAGCGGATTCTCGTCTGCCATTCGACTTGCTGACGCAACGGTGC